CACGGGGCGCGCGACACTGAGTAGGGCAGCGGAAGCAGCAGTGGGGCCCACAGGCCAGGAGCGTGAAGGCTCTGTTACCATGTTAAGAGAGTAAGCATAAGCAGGAGCCATAGCTAGGAGAACCCTAGCTAGGCAAGAGAAAGTTTAGGCAAAGAGGAGGTTCACTAGCAGCAATGAGGATACATATAGCAAACCCTAGATGGGTTGTACTCGCTATAGAGCACCCCACTACAGGCTAGAGAATAACATTCTGACACTCTTCACTACTTCATCAGCACCGCGACGATCGGCCTAACCTACCACAAGAACGCAGCTACACCAACCAAGCTAATCGGCTATGTCGACGCCGATCACGCCGGCGACTCCGATAACAGGCGCTCACGTACCGGCTACGTCTACCGCCTCGAACCTATCGGACCTATCTCCTGGCAGTCGAGCAAGCAGGAGTTAATCGCGTTATCATCAGCTGAGGCAGAATATATCGCACTCTGCTCAGCCACCAAGGAAGGCCTTTATCTTCGCGAGCTGCTGGAAGAAGCAAAGTTTGTCGAAACAAGCTAGGCAGAAGTTAGGAACAGAAAGAGAGGGGGTTGAACTAGCAAGAATGGGGATACAAATAGCAAACCCTAGAAGGGTTGTACTCGCTACAGAGCACCCCACTGCAGGCTAGACAAATATAACATTCTGACAAAGTTAGCTGAGTTACCTAACTTCACCCTGTTCTGCGACAACCAGTCGGCAATTCGCATCGCCAACAAGAACGGCTTCGCGAACAGGACGAAACACATCGCCCTGCGCTACTTCTTCGTGAAGGACGAGATCGAGAAGGGGAGACTTCAGCTGTCATACTGTCCCACGTCCGAGATGGCAGCCGATTATTTGACCAAGAAACTCGGAAAGCAGAAATTCGAGTACTGCATGCTGCTGACTGGACAGAGCCACGTCACCAGCAGCGACACTCTAGAAGCGAAGGGGAGTGTTGGAAACAATGAATCATAAGCGCCTCTGTCGTGTCGAAACACCGCACCAGAAGCGAGACGAATCATACCGAAGCACCCGCGAGTCAACCCTCGGAGGTTGAGAGGTTGCTGGAGGTTACGCGAAAGTCAAAGGTCAAGCGACCTTTGACCTGACAAGTACAGCGCGACAGTTAAGGACACACAACTGACTCGTTACAGAGCAGTTGCCCGAGTCGTACTGTATCGAACCGCAACAGCAACAGTAAAAGCAGTTATAACTGTATCTTTTGATATTCCCTGCATTATTATATATTCTTGTACTCTCTTGTTATAATTAATCTACTTTGCCCTCACATACTAGCGCAAGGTGGTTCAGAATCTCTTCATTAAAAGCTTCCGCTATTACAATTGTCCAACCCAGAGTTCTCCTCTGCAAAGATCCTAAGGGGCTATCTCAGCCCAACATGCAAGACGCTGTGATGACTGTTGTTTAAACGGTGACCTGGTTAACGAGTCACAAAAATAAATCACCAGATTCACTTTGTCGAGCAAATCTGGTCAAGTCAGTCAAAACGCCACATCGATCTCGCGTTTTTTATGTCGTCGCGCAATAAATGTTGATGTAACTCTCACGATTGGGCATATCAGAGCGTGCGGATGGGAATCAGCGAGAATGCGATGCGAGAATCCGAGAACAGAAGTCCACGTTGTGAAGGAATCCGAAAATAAAGTACAGTTTTTTTTTACTTTCTTCAACACCGCAATACAGAATTCATTCTTTTGTAATTAATAGATGTCCGGGGGTCTTATGCACTATATGCCATTAAATAATACCCCAAAACCCAATTTTAGCACATTTGGGATAAGACCCCCGGGTCTTCTAACCGGGAGATCACGGTAGCATGTCATGTGCCATGTATGAAGGTTGTGAAATGTATAGTGGATGCTGATGCTTGGTGTTTCGATATTGCAACACGGATGGTAGTTTAGACACTTTCTCATGTCGGGTATTTTCGACAGCTCGACCTCGGATGAGGAAAGCGGGTTCGCTACTTTACCGCTTTAGACCGCTCTTGCAATATCTGTGCCTGGGAGGCCCTTTTTTCATGACCGTTTGTTGCTCGAGTCGTTCCGGCATCCACACCGTACCATTTACCACAGGGGCTTCCGCGCCTGAGGCTTGTCTCAGATTTTCCTGCTTTTACATTCGACGGAATTGTTGCAGCCTCGTGTCCGCCTCGTCACTCGCGCGCACATGGACGAGGAGCAAGGCCAGCTGTCCGTCTTCCTAGCCTTTCGCGAGAAATGCGACGCGCTGGAAGCCGCGATTCGAGCTTTAAGCTCCGGAGATTCCGGTTCCGTTGCTGAATCTGCACAGTCGGGGATCAACGGCGGGGAAAGTAGTCAGCAAGTTGGCGATGCAGGAAGCAATCAACGGTCCGGATTGAACGCGGATCAAGCGGCGGTGGCAGCGCTTCGCGAAGTGGAAGATCTGGTAGCGCACTTCGCGCCGTCGGTCCCGCGGCGCGATGTGGAGCAGATGACGTCGCGCGTGGCCACACTTCGCGCCAACATAGAATCTGCCCGATCCGCCTCGAAACCCAAGAAACGCTTCGCCTTCTCCTCAAGAGGGCAAAAGAAACCTTCTTCAGAAAATAAAGACGCCTCGTCCTCTCAGAAATCTGTCGAGCAACCGACGCAGTCGCTGCAGCCAGTGGGTAGTTGCCAGGTGGAGCAGGAAGACGACCCGAGGAGAGCGGGAATGGTGCCATCGCCCTCCGATGTTGAGCCAACAGCGGCATCAGGAGGAGCCGTATCGGGAGCAGCAGCGTCAGGAGAAGCGGCGGCAGGAACAGGAGCACCCGCAGCAGGAGGAGAATCCGGAGCAGCAGGAGAAGTTGGAGCAGCCAAAGCAGCAGGCGCGTCCGCCGAGGCTTCATCTTCCATCCCACCAATCAGCTCTGCGCACCCGTCCCTCTCCATTTCCCACCGCTCCCACGAGCACATTCAGATCTCACCAGAGCAGCACAGACGTGGCGAGCTCACGTTGCAGCACCTCTCCCACTGCCACGTGTCCGTCCGCGGTGTCCTCTCCGCCATCTTCCTCCGCCATGTGCGCGACTGCCACGTCATCCTGTGCCCGGTGTTGGGAGCCTGCCACGTGGAGGACGCGTCAGGGAGCACTGTAGCCGCCGCGAGTCATCAGCTGAGAATACACCAGACAGAGCGCGCCGATTTTTACGTTCGCACGCGCAGCAGGCCGCTTATAGAGCATTCTAAAGGTGTCAGGTTTGCGCCGTATAGTCTGGAGTATGATGGGCTGGAGGCGGATTTGAAGGATGCTGACATGGCTGTGGATGGAGGGTTGTGGGCCCACGTGGACGATTTTGGTTGGCTGCGTGCGGTGCCGTCGCCGAATTGGTCGGTTATCCCTGAGGAGGAGAGGAAGATATTGACAGAGGCGTGAAGCTTTACAGGTTTATGAGGTTTTGCAGAGACGTGTTTTCTTCGGGCGCCTCGAAGGTCGGTTATTCCTGAGGAGAGGAAGAGATTGGCAGAGGTGTAGGGTACTGGCGATGCATGGGTGTTTGCAGAGGATTAGGGCCTCAGAGAGACAGAGTCACAGAGTGGCAGTGCAGCTGTGAAGCTTCACAAATGCATGGGGGTTTGCAGAGGATTAGGGCCTCAGAGAGACAGAGTCACAGAGTGGCAGTGCAGCTGTGAAGCTTCACAAATGCATGGGGGTTTGCAGAGGATTAGGGCCTCAGAGAGACAGAGTCACAGAGTGGCAGTGCAGCTGTGAAGCTTCACAAATGCATGGGGGTTTGCAGAGGATTAGGGCCTCAGAGAGACAGAGTCACAGAGTGGCAGTGCAGCTGTGAAGCTTCACAAATGCATGGGGGTTTGCAGAGGATTAGGGCCTCAGAGAGACAGAGTCACAGAGTGGCAGTGCAGCTGTGAAGCTTCACAAATGCATGGGGGTTTGCAGAGGATTAGGGCCTCAGAGAGACAGAGTCACAGAGTGGCAGTGCAGCTGTGAAGCTTCACAAATGCATGGGGGTTTGCAGAGGCAAGTGCATGAGGTGAGGGCAACGTAGAGGGGCAGGTGGAGTGTTGTGCAGATGGGAGATGGCACTTGTGTGGCTGCAGTCTCTGTTGTGTTGTGACTGCGTGTGATGCGCATTGCAGTTTCTATTCCAACACCCACCATGACCCAGTGTGGCAGGCAGACAGGCAGGCAGGCAGGCAGGCGGGCGGGAAGACATGCAGAGGCAGGTGGCTCATGTGAAGAGGGAGTAGTGAAGGGATTGTGAAAAATTGTGCTGGCAGGCAGGCAGGCAGACAGGCAGACAGGCCTCGTGCAACAACCACTGCCACTCTTTTGAAAGGGACTTCAACGTTTGCCAGGGTCACCGTGACAGGTAGCCCTTAATCCATGATTGAGTGTGCTGATTGTGAGTTGAGCAGGCTGCTCCGGTGTCTAAAGAAATCTCTGGAATACCGGTGCCAATCACTCCCAGGAACAGGCATCAATTCATTCACTGCCAGTGCCCGGACTACGCATGCATGCGAGCTCCACGTAGGGGTAACTAAACAAGTGGTTTTTTTTCGGCACTGTAGGGTAGGCACTATCTTGGGCAAAAACTACTCTCGCCGGCTTGTGAGATGCTTCGATTATTTTAACTACTAGTCAGGCAAAACACTATGTAATATGCTCCACACACACTTACCCTTACATCAATACATGGTGATATAAACAAACAAAAAGAGATTGTCTAGCACAACAGGTCTTACACAGCATCATTTTGCCTTGTCGTTGCTCCATCCATCCTTCACTTCTCTAGTAGAGCTTTTCTCAGCCGCAGGGCCCAGAGCCAGGGCCAGAGTCATAACGTATCCTTCAAATTCCATTACTTTGCCTTATCCTTACTCTCTCTCTCTCCACCTGCGCTCCATCCATCTTTTTTGTTTCCAAGAGAGCCTTTCTCAGCTGCAAGCCCAGAGCCAGGGCCAAAGGCATTATACATTCTTCACATTCCATTACTTTGCCTCATCGTTACTCTTCCCCTCTTCCTCTGCTCCATCCATCCTTTTCGTCTCCAAAAGAGCTTTCCTCAGCTGCAAGCCCAGAGCCAGGGCGAGAGGCGGAGGGACAGCGTTGCCGATCTGGCGATGCTTGGCCTGGATGTTGCCGGCAAAGCAGTACCAGTCGGGAAAGCCCTGAAAGGTTGGGGGCATTGGGGAACACGAGGTAGGATTAAGGATGGGGAACAGTAAGGACGATGGAAAGCACACGCCGATTCGGCGGTGTGAGAGTCTGAGGTAAGACGTTTCCCGACTGGTACGGCTTATGCTGGTTGCTGCCCATGGGCTGCGGGTCCGTCCCAGACGTGGGGAAGTGGGCCGACCAGTCCAGCTGCCAACACAGCCCCCTCCAGTTGTTGCTAACTGGGCTGGGGGGTCATTACAGACGTCTGTAACATGGGGAAGTTGCCCGCCCACCTGTGTTCTTCTGCACTCACACACTCTCACACTCACGCTCTCTCTCGCACTCACACCCACTCACACACACCCACACTCATAGCCTCTCAGAATCCCTCTCTTACCTGGGATCGTGCGCACTCTCTGACGCTGACAATACGGTCCTGCTCGGGGTGAAAGCACATGCCCACTTTCCCCATGGGCTGGGGATCAGTGACAGACGTGGGGAAGTTACCCGCTCACCCATAACCTGAGGCTCTCACACCTGCACGAAGCCCCTCTCGCACCTGAGATCTTGCACACTCTCGCACGCTGACTATTCGGTCCTGCTCGGGGTGAAAGCACATGCCCACTTTCCCCATGGGCTGGGGGTCCGTCACAGACGTGGGGAAGTTGCCCGCCCAGTCCAGCCGCTCCCATACTGGCAACCTTGGATACGAGATATTCTGTTTCGTACCTGAGATCTCGCACATTCTCGCACACTGACGATACGATCTTGCTCGGGGTGAAAGCACATGCCCACTTTCCCCATGGGCTGGGGGTCCGTCACAGACGTGGGGAAGTTGCCCGCCCAGTCCAGCCGCCCAAACAGCCCCTTCCAGTTGTTGTGGCGCTGCATGGTGTTGGGCAGGCACCAGGGCACGAGATCCGCCTCACGGCCATCAGATAGCCGCACCTGGTTGCAAGCAGGGGGTTTGGGTATTGAATGGAAGGGTTTAGGCATTGCGAAGTAAAGCCGCCCAAACAGCCCCTTCCAGTTGTTGTGGCGCTGCATGGTGTTGGGCAGGCACCAGGGCACGAGATCCGCCTCACGGCCATCCGACAGCCGCACCTGGTGGCAGTGGCAGAGGAAGGGAAGAAAGCAGGTTGGGGGTTGTGAAAAGAGTCCATGGTTCTTGGCTGGCACAAGGGGCTCAAACAGCCCCTTCCAGTTGTTGTGGCGCTGCATGGTGTTGGGCAGGCACCAGGGCACGAGATCCGCCTCACGCCCATCGGATAGCCGCACCTGTGGTGTGAAAGGGAGGGACGGAAAGGGGAAGGGAAGGTGACTGAGGGCACAAACGGAACCTTGAAAGCGCTATCAAGAAGTCCCTAGAGGGGCTATTTTAGTCCTACTGTGAGAGCTTATCACAAGGAGAGCCAATCCGGGAAACAAGAGAGCCAAGGAGAGCCAAAGAGAGAGCTGAAGGGAGAGGGTAAGGAAGGAGGAGGTTAGTGTAAGTCCTTAATAACCATACCTTGATATCTGTCAGCTCCCCTCTATATCCTCACCTTGATATCTGGCAGGTCCCGCCAGTCGGCCCCTGGGCACCTGGAGATGTGTTGGCAGCATTTGAAGCTGAGTTGAGCATGCATGCACACGGGTTCTATCTAGCACACGTGCTGCAACATGGTTTCTATGCTATCGTGCTGCAAACTCCCCTCACCTTGATATCCGGCAGGTCCCGCCAGTCCGCGCCCGGGCGCCTGGGGATGTGTTGGCAGCGCTTCAAATTGAGCTCATTCATTTTCTTGCACGTGTGGTCCAGCAGCCTGGCCTGTTGGGATCGAATGCAGCGTTGGAACCAGGAGGAGGGCTCGGAGGAATACTGCAAGAGGGAACGAGTGGGAAGGGGGAGAGAAGGGAGAGCGTTGGCAGTGCAAGGGACATCATTAGCAGCGTTTGAGGTTGAGTTCGTTCATGCGCTTGCACGTGTGGTCCAGCAGCTTGGCCTGTTGGGATCGAATGCAGCGTTGGAACCAGGAGGAGGGCTCAGAGGAGTACTGTGGGAGGGAAGGGTGGGGAGGGTGGGAAGGAGAGGGGAGGAGGGAAGGAGAGGGGAGGAGGGAAGGAGAGGGGAGGAGGGAAGGAGAGGGGGAGGGGAAGGAGAGGGGAGGAGGGAAGGAGAGGGGAGGAGGGAAGGAGAGGGGGAGGGGAAGGAGAGGGGAGGAGGGAAGGAGAGGGGGAGGGGAAGGAGAGGGGAGGAGGGAAGGAGAGGGGGAGGGGAAGGAGAGGGGAGGAGGGGAGGGAGAGCATGGGCAGCGCATGAGCAGGTTAAGGTCGTTCACGCGCTTGCACGTGTGGTCCAGCAGTTTGGCTTGTTGTGATCAGATGCACCTCTGGAACCAAAAAGCGGGAGAAGGGTTTAGGGTTTAGCGTGACGAATACTGTTCTTAATCCGTGGCACAACCCCCATTCCCCACCATACCCACACCAATCAGAGGCATGGCCACCAGACTCTCACCTCCATTTCTTCCTCCTCTGCCCCGTTCTCAATGCTCGGCAGGTCCCCCATCGCATCCCGCACTGTGATCGACCGCAGCGGCGCCCCCATCGCAGGGCCACGTGGACACGCCTCATTGGCCAGCGAGCTCACCGTGCTGAACTGACCAATTGCAGCAGCAGCAGCAGCAGCAGCGCCAGCAGCAGCAGCAGCGGAGGTGGTGAGGGGGACGGAGAGCTGGGAGGAGGCGAAGACGTGCAGAGGCTGGGGCCACTCGGGGAGCACGTGGCCCGGCGCTGCTGCCCAGATGAAGGCTCTTGTGCGCGACTGAGATATGCCGAAGTTGCCTGCTTGTAAGACACCAAAGCGGACCTGGAGAGGAGGGAGGATGGGAGGAGGGGTTGGGGAAATCTAAGACTCTTAATAACATTGTGGGAGCACATGGCCCAGTGCTGCTGCCCAGATGAACGCTCCCGTGCGCGACTGAGATATGCCGAAGTTTCCTGCTTGTAAGACGCCAAAGCGGACCTGGAGAGAGTGGGGGAAGGGGAGAACGAGCAGGAGATGGAGAGGTGGTGAAAAGTTGCCCGATTAAAGGATGCCAACGGACATGGTCGGGCGAGAGGGAGGTGTGACGGTTTGATGGTGTGATGGTGTGATGGTGTGATGGTGTGACGGTGTGATGGTGTGATGGTTTGATGGTGTGATGGTGTGAAGTTGTGTGGTGAGATGGTGTGATGGTGTGATGGTGTGATGGTGTGATGGTGTGATGGTGTGATGGGTGTGATGGTGTGACGGCTGATGGTGTGATGGTGTGATGGTGTGATGGTGTGATGGTGTGATGGTGTGATGGTGTGATGTTTGATGGTGTGATGGTGTGATGGTGTGATGGTGTGATGGTGTGATGGTGTGATGGTGTGATGGTGTGATGGTGTGATGGTGTGATGGTGTGATGGTGTGATGGTGTGATGGTGTGATGGTGTGATGGTGTGATGGTGTGATGGTGTGATGGTGTGATGGTGTGATGGTGTGATGGTGTGATGGTGTGATGGTGTGATGGTGTGATGGTGTGACGGTGTGATGGTGTGATGGTGTTGATGGTTGTGACGGTGTGATGGTGTGATGGTGTGATGGTGTGATGGTGTGATGGTGTGATGGTGTGATGGTGTGATGGTGTGATGGTGTGATGGTGTGATGGTGTGATGGTGTGATGGTGTGATGGTGTGATGGTGTGATGGTGTGATGGTGTGATGGTGTGATGGTGTGATGGTGTGATGGTGTGATGGTGTGATGGTGTGATGGTGTGATGGTGTGATGGTGTGATGGTGTGATGGTGTGATGGTGTGATGGTTTGATGGTGTGATGGTGTGATGATGTGATGGTGTGACGGCTGATGGTGTGATGGTGTGATGGTGTGATGGTGTGATGGTGTGATGGTGTGATGGTGTGATGGTGTGATGGTGTGATGGTGTGATGGTGTGATGGTGTGATGGTGTGATGGTGTGATGGTGTGATGGTGTGATGGTGTGATGGTGTGATGGTGTGATGGTGTGATGGTGTGATGGTGTGATGGTGTGATGGTGTGATGGTGTGATGGTGTGATGGTGTGATGGTGTGATGGTGTGATGGTGTGATGGTGTGATGGTGTGATGGTGTGATGGTGTGATGGTGTGATGGTGTGATGGTGTGATGGTGTGACGGCTGATGGTGTGATGGTGTGATGGTGTGATGGTGTGATGGTGTGATGGTGTGATGGTGTGATGGTGTGATGGTGTGATGGTGTGATGGTGTGATGGTGTGATGGTGTGATGGTGTGATGGTGTGATGGTGTGATGGTGTGATGGTGTGATGGTGTGATGGTGTGATGGTGTGATGGTGTGATGGTGTGATGGTGTGATGGTGTGATGGTGTGATGGTGTGATGGTGTGATGGTGTGACGGTGAGATGGTGTGATGGTGTGATGGTGTGATGGTGTGATGGTGTGATGGTGTGATGGTGTGATGGTGTGATGGTTATGGTGTGATGGTGTGATGGTGTGATGGTGTGATGGTGTGATGGTGTGATGGTGTGATGGTGTGATGGTGTGATGGTGTGATGGTGTGATGGTGTGATGGTGTGATGGTGTGATGGTGTGATGGTGTGATGGTGTGATGGTGTGATGGTGTGATGGTGTGATGGTGTGATGTGTGATGGTGTGATGGTTTGACGGTGTGATGGTGTGATGGTGTGATGGTGTGATGGTGTGATGGTGTGATGGTGTGATGGTGTGATGGTGTGATGTGTGACGGTGTGACGGTGTGACGGTGGTGATGGTGTGATGGTGTGATGGTGTGATGGTGTGATGGTGTGATGGTGTGATGGTGTGATGGTGTGATGGTGTGATGGTGTGATGGTGTGATGGTGTGATGGTGTGATGGTGTGATGGTGTGATGGTGTGATGGTGTGATGGTGTGATGGTGTGATGGTGTGATGGTGTGATGGTGTGATGGTGTGATGGTGTGATGGTGTGATGGTGTGATGGTGTGATGGTGTGATGGTGTGATGGTGTGATGGTGTGATGGTGTGATGGTGTGATGGTGTGATGGTGTGATGGTGTGATGGTGTGATGGTGTGACGGCTGATGGTGTGATGGTGTGATGGTGTGATGGTGTGATGGTGTGATGGTGTGATGGTGTGATGGTGTGATGGTGTGATGGTTTTGATGGTGTGATGGTGTGATGGTGTGATGGTGTGATGGTGTGATGGTGTGACGGCTGATGGTGTGATGGTGTGATTGTGTGATGTTGTGACGGTGTGATGGGGGTGTGATGGTGTGATGGTTTGATGGTGTGCTGTGTGACGGTGTGATGGTGTGATGGTGTGATGGTGTGATGGTGTGATGGTGTGATGGTGTGATGGTGTGATGGTGTGATGGTGTGATGGTGTGATGGTGTGATGGTGTGATGGTGTGATGGTGTGATGGTGTGATGGTGTGATGGTGTGATGGTGTGATGGTGTGATGGTGTGATGGTGGTGACGGTGTGATGGTGTGATGGTGTGATGGTGTGATGGTGTGATGGTGTGACGGCTGATGGTGTGATGGTGTGATGGTGTGATGGTGTGATGGTGTGATGGTGTGATGGTGTGATGGTGTGACGGGTGACGGTGTGATGGTGTGATGGTGTGATGGTGTGATGGTGTGATGGTGTGATGGTGTGATGGTGTGATGGTGTGATGGTGTGATGGTGTGATGGTGTGATGGTGTGATGGTGTGATGGTGTGATGGTGGTGGGATGGTGTGATGGTGTGATGGTGTGATGGTGTGACGGTGAGATGGTGTGATGGTGTGATGGTGTGATGGTGTGATGGTGTGATGGTGTGATGGTGTGATGGTGTGATGGTGTGATGGTGTGATGGTGTGATGGTGTGATGGTGTGATGGTGTGATGGTGTGATGGTGTGATGGTGTGATGGTGTGATGGTGTGATGGTGTGATGGTGTGATGGTGTGATGGTGTGATGGTGTGATGGTGTGATGGTGTGATGGTGTGATGGTGTGATGGTGTGATGGTGTGATGGTGAGATCGTGTGATGGTGTGATGGTGTGATGGTGTGATGGTGTGATGGTGTGATGGTGTGATGGTGTGATGGTTGATGGTGTCATGGTGTGATGGTGTCATGGTGTGATGGTGTCATGGTGAGATGGTGTGATGGTGTGATGGTGTGATGGTGTGATGGTGTGATGGTGTGATGGTGTGATGGTGTGATGGTGTGATGGTGTGATGGTGTGACGGCTGATGGTGTGATGGTGTGATGGTGTGATGGTGTGATGGTGTGATGGTGTGATGGTGTGACGGTGTGATGGTGTGACGGCTGATGGTTGATGGTTGATGGCTGATGGTTGATGGTGTGGTCTGGTGTTTAACTAGCCTATGGCGACCCATGTGTATGCTTTTGAGAATTCATTGAAGCGACTCAGTTTGTGAATTTTCAAAAAGGGGGTGTTGCTTGATGGTGTGGTTCTGGTGCTCAATTAGCCTGTGGCGACACAAGTATATGACGCCTACCTGGTAGCCCATGGCAAGGAGAGTTCGGAGCGCTAGGCGGAAGGTGCGGGCACCATTCAAGGAGACGAACGTGCGGGCGTTCTCAAGGAGGAAGTAGTTGGGGCGGAGGAAATTGGTGAAGGAGAAAGGCGTGAGGTGTGATGGCAGCAGCTGATGGGTACGTGCGTGTACTTCTTACCTGGTAACCCATAGCGAGTAGCGTCCTCAGAGCCAGGCGGAAAGTACGCGCTCCATTGAACGAGACGAAGTTGCGCACGTTCTCGAGTAGGAAGTAGTTGGGGCGGAGGAAATCCGCGAAGGAGAGGAATGCGAGGATCATCTCGCACTGCACCTTGCTCCATGGATTCTGGTTGAAACGGTTCATGCCGGAAAAGCCCTGAGCGGGGAGGGTTGGGAAGTAACACAAAAACAACGGGGTCGGAGAGCGAAGAGAAGGCAATGAGGGAATGCGAGGATCATCTCGCACTGCACCTTGCTCCATGGGTTCTGGTTGAAACGGTTCATGCCGGAAAAGCCCTGAGCGGGGAGGGTTGGGAAGTAACACAAAAACAACGGGGTCGGAGAGCGAAGAGAAGGCAATGAGGGAATGCGAGGATCATCTCGCACTGCACCTTGCTCCATGGGTTCTGGTTGAATTAAAGCGATTCATGCCGGAGAAACCCTGAAAGGGGGACATACAAGGGGGTCCAGGCGAAAGCAGTGGAGACGACAAGGAGAAGGGATGAAGGTTAAGGGGATGAGGAGCATCTAGCACTGCGCCTTGCTCCAGTTGAACCGGTTCATGCCGGAGTAACCCTGAAAGAGAGGATGAGGCAAAAAGGGTGAGGAAAGAAAATCAGTCGAAGGGATGGGGGGTGTGAAGACGAGAATCATCTTGCACTGGAGGAACTTGCTGCAGGGGTTCGGGTTGAAGCGATTCATGCCAGAGCGAAACAGGGTGGGTACATTGATCGCAGAACAGAAGCAGCTTGCCGCTGTCTTCCTCACCATCTCCGCTCCGGCCATCCTCCCACCACTCACCGCACCTGAGAAAGTGCCACCACGAGCCCTGTACCTGGCAGGGCGGGCCCCCGTTGACGAAGTCCACTTGGCCGGGCAGAGGCAGCTTGCCCCTCTCCGCCTCGGCCATCTTTCCCGCTCTCACCACTAGTACAGGTGGTGTAAGGCTGTAAGCGCCACTTGAAACCCGCTTACCTGGCACGGCGGGCCTCCGTTGACGAAGTCCACTTGGCCGGGCAGAGGCAGCTTGCCCTTTTCTGCCTCGGCCATCTTTGCTGCTGCCTCGTCCGCTTCTGGCGTTGACACACAGTCGCCCAGCTGCCCTGCTTGCTCCATCATGCTCCTGAGTGAATAAGGAGGAGAGGCGATTGGGAGAGAGAAAAGGGGAAAGAGAGCGGTGGTGGTAATAAGGTGGACTTTGAGTTTACGCACAGCTGCCCAGCTGCCCCGCCTGCTGCTCCATCAAGCACTCGAATGAACAAGGAGGAGAGGCGATTGGAAGAGAGAAGAGGGGAAAGGGAGTGGTGGTGGTAAGGTGGATTCTGAGTTGAGATACAGCCGCCCAGCTGCATTGAGGTGGTTTTTGAGGCGCCTCAAATACCAACTCAATGGGAGTGGTGGTGGTAAAGGTGGATTCTGAGCCGAGATACAGCCGCCCAGCTGCCCTACTTGCTCCATCATCCACCTGAAGGGAGGGAGGAAGGAGGGCAAACGGAGGGACAGGGAATGGATGGCATGGTGTTGCTACTGTCCCCTTATGCCATCTTCATATTCCCCCTTACCCCGCTTACCTAAGCACCACTTAGCACCGCTTACCTAAGCACGACGTTGCAGTTGGTGCAGATGACAGCAGCGTGGATTTTACTTATGAGAATTCTCACACAGCAGCACACAGCAGCGTCGGGTTTGTTCTTCCCGAAATGCCTCAGCAGCACACCCGCCCACCAGCAGCACTGAACCGGCCAAGTGCCACTGCACTAATACCTACCTGAGCACCACATAACCCTGCCTGCTCACCAGAGCACGACGTTGCAGTTGGCGCAGCTGGCAGCAGCATCAGGGTGGTCCTTCTGAAACGCCTCAGCACAGCAGCACACCCGCCCACCAGCACTCAACCGGCCAAGTGACACTAACACTCACACCTACCCGAGCACCACCTACCCGAGCACCACCTGCCTGACCACGACGTTGCAGTTGGCGCGGATGACAGCAGCGTCGGGGTGGTTCTTCTGTTTCCCCCGCTCACCCTTAACCACGCTCACCTAAGCCCACGCTCACCTAAACCCCCGCTCACCTGAGCACCACGTTGCAGTTGGCGCAGATGACAGCAGCGTCGGGGTGGTTCTTCTGTTTCCCCCGCTCACCCTTAACGACGCTCACCTAAGCCCACGCTCACCTAAACCCCCGCTCACCTGAGCACCACGTTGCAGTTGGCGCAGATGACAGCAGCGTCGGGGTGGTTCTTCTGTTTCCCCCGCTCACCCTTAACCACGCTCACCTAAGCCCACGCTCACCTAAACCCCCGCTCACCTGAGCACCACGTTGCAGTTGGCGCAGATGACAGCAGCGTCGGGGTGGTTCTTCTGTTTCCCCCGCTCACCCTTAACCACGCTCACCTAAGCCCACGCTCACCTAAACCCCCGCTCACCTGAGCACCACGTTGCAGTTGGCGCAGATGACAGCAGCGTCGGGGTGGTTCTTCTGTTTCGCCCGCTCACCCTTAACCACGCTCACCTAAGCCCACGCTCACCTAAACCCCCGCTCACCTGAGCACCACGTTGCAGTTGGCGCAGATGACAGCAGCGTCGGGGTGGTTCTTCTGTTTCCCCCGCTCACCCTTAACCACGCTCACCTAAGCCCACGCTCACCTAAACCCCCGCTCACCTGAGCACCACGTTGCAGTTGGCGCAGATGACAGCAGCGTCGGGGTGGTTCTTCTGAAACGCCTCAGCAGCCGGGTGCTCATACTCGATGGCCCACCGCGTCTCACACGCGCCCGACCGCTGCAACCCCTCCGACAGCCCGCCACACCCTGCAAATATATCCAGCGTCCGCAGCACACCTGCACCGCCCTTGCTGCTTTTTCCCACCCTTGCTGCCCTTCCTCCTGATTCTCTGCATTCTCCTGATTTTCCAGATCTCTCTGCTTCCCCTGTTGCTGCTTCGCCCCAGCTGCAGCCTTGCTGGTGGGTTCCTCTGGCTCCTCCGCAGCTGCTTTCCCCTTGCCTTTCGCCCGGGCTCTAGCTGAAGCTGCTGCCTCTGCTGCTTCTGCATCAGCATCGTCGTCAGTAGCAACACTCTTGCCCTTGCCCTTGCCCTTCTCCTTGACTGGTGATGCTGATGCTGCTGAGGAAGGGCCGAAACGAATCCCAGGGGGCAACTGCAGGAGTGATTGAAAAGGAAGTGGGAAAAGGAAGCGGAAGGGTCAGAAGAGTGGGGCAGAGAGAGACATGCTGACCAAGAAGACCATCTGATACCTCCAATGGCACGTGTTGGCCAGACAGAGACGAAGCTACAGAGGCAAAGTTAGATAGAGTAACAGTTTTTCTTTTTTTGGGATGCCATGCATGCATCCACAGTCGTAACTGGAGACAAGGGAGGTACATGCAGACACATGTAGATAGAGGAACAGTGCTACAGCAGAGCAGAGGACGAAGCACAAATGGGCTCTGGAAATATCCTTACAACCAAGCGACACGACACCAGAGCAGGGTACCCCGTCGATTTGTGAGAAATATCATAGAAATGCAGCTTTTGAGACGTCTCGAAATGCAGCTGATAACAGAGGGGAGGGGGCTTTGTACCATTCGGACAGAGCCATCTTTCAGGAGGCGATCGCAGAAAAAGACAAAGTCGCCGCCCATCAGCTCCTCCTCCAGGCACCCCCCGATGTTAAAGCCCAAGTGATCCGCCTCTGCCCCTGCCGCTGCTGCTGCTGCTGTGGGCTTGCCGCGCTGCACGCGGCACTTGCCGATCACGTCTGTCACGTCTACAGTGATTAGGGTTTCACTGTAGTACACCTGTTGTGGGGCGCATTGATTTATATGTTGTTGTTGCTGCATAGCTTGTCCATAGAGATAAATATAACGAGCAGAAAAAAAGAAAGAAAGAAAGAAAAAAAGTGGATGCCCGACATTGCTTTACTGTTTCATGTCTTAGAATAAAAGCGGTAAGTACTCACCTCTCGGATGTGTGCCGTATACGCGATCTCATCACCCTCATTCGGCACATCTTCAGGGCGGAAAAACCTCCTCACCACCATCTTTTCGGGCACCTCCTTCGCCCCGCCAGTCGGAGCTACAAACCTTTCTATCTGCCCGATAGGCCATGCGCGCAGTCCAATGTTCCGCCCTCCTTTCGCTATCTTAACCTTCTTCCCCTCGCTCTCCTCCCCCACTGCTGCCGGATGCAAAAACACGAAGTCCTGCACCCGAAACTCCTTCCCTAAGTAAGCGAATCCCTCCTCCACCTTCTCCTCTTCCCCTGCCTTCCCGCCTCCAAGCCTCCGCACTTCCATCATCCTATCCCTCTCTGCATCCTCATCACACGAGCAACACCTGCCTGTTCCGCTGCCCAGGCTCTTGGGCAGGTCGAAAAAGCCGCCGCGGGAGGGGTTGTAGAGGAGGCGGTAGAAGAAGGAGCGCTGCCCCGTCTCGTTGAAAAGCTTCTCCATTCGCTCCCTCTCCCTCTCGTGTTCCTCCATGTTCCTGAGCCTATGTTCCGCTCCCCATGGCTGCTTGCGATGCGTCACTGATGCCAGCTCACTGGGAGATTGTGAAACACACACACACACACACACACACACACACACACACACACACACACACACACACACACACACACACACACACACACACACACACGCACGCACGAAGGAAGAGCACGTGAATCCGGTCTCCTTGAAAAGCTTCTCTATTCGCTCCCTCTCCCACTCTTGCTCCTCCATGTTCTTCATTCAGCCTGTGCTCCGCCCCCCATGGCTGCTTGCGATGCGTCACTGCTGCGAGCTCACTGGGAGATTGTGAGCAAAGAAGAAGGAAAAAAACAGAATTGCGAAGGAAGCGCATCTGAATGCGGTCTTTTTAAAGAGTTTCTCCATTCGCTCCCTCTCCCTCTCATGCTCCTCCATGTTCCTCAGCCTGTGCTCCGCCCCCCAAGGCTGCTTGCGATGCGTCACTGCTGCAAGCTCACTGGGCTATTCAACAGAATCGAACAGAACGAGCATGTAAACGGGTTGGGATTTGAGTTGACTCAAAATGCGTCACTGATGCAAGTTCACTGGGAAATTAACAAACAGAGCTGCACGGGAACAGCACTGGGACAGGTCTGCTAATGGGCCAACTGAGAGATACACTTTGCAAATGCCGAAACACACACGGGCATGAAGACAGGAAACTGGTGGACTTTGAGGGCGTGAAGTGAAGGACAACATAACGAGACCTCAAATTCTTGGGTAAGCCTTACCGGATGGCAGTAAGGGGGAAGTCAACAGCTCCCACTCGTCCACCGCATTTGATACTCCTTACTCAACACCTGCACCTTACCGCATTTGCTGGCAACTTAGCCCACTTCCAGGCAGCTTACCGGATGGCAGTGAGGGGGAAGTCAACGCAGTGCTCAGACACAAACAGCTCCCACTCATCCGCCGCATTCCCCAGAACCGTCTCACTCCCCCTCACCATCACCCGCCCATGCGCCTTCATCCCCTCGCCCCTCCTCCTCCTCCCCGCCCCACCCCCCACGCCCCCCTCATCCCACATATACTCCACAAGCACCAGTTTCTCCTCTTCCTCCCTCCACCGCCCCTCGTGCCCGTCATGCTCGCCCTCCGCCACAGCTGCAAGCACCACGATCCCTGCCCTGACCTCCAGCCCCCACACTGAGGCTGAGGCGTATGCAGGATGGTCCTCCTCTGTGCGGCCAGTGCTTGTGCCGATCCATGTCACGCCCTGAGTGGAGTCCTTTACTGCTCTCGCCTTGTTTCCACCAGCTTTGCTCCCACCTGCAGCAGCTTCCTTCGCCTTCTCCGTCTCAGTCCCACCAGCAGCTGCTTTTCCCTTATCGGTCACACCAGCCTCCTTATCTGCTTCCGCGCACTTTGTATTAACCCCCTTCGTTTTACTCCCCTTGGCTTGCCTCGCACTCGCTACCTTCTCCACCACCTCCTCCTCATCCTCACTATCCCCATCCTTCAACTCCCCTCGTTCCTCTTCCTCCTCCTCCACCTCCTCTTCCTCCACCTTCCCATTCTCCTCTCCCTCACCTCCCCCTTTACCCGCCCCCACCTCATCCCGCTTCAATCCGAACCGTTCATAGTACTCCTTCCAGATCCTGTGGACCAGCTGAGTCGTGGTCGCACGCATAGGCTTCCTCTTACTAGCATCTGGCCTCAAAGCCGCAGCAGGATTGGCGTTTCTCGCACTCCCACCGTCACCCCCACCACGCCCATTGCTACCTCTGTTTGCGACAATCATAGCCGCCTTTTTCTTACTAACTTTTAGCTCTGTATGCGACCGCGTCTCCATCTTTTCTCGCAGCGTGCTTATAAAGGGGCTCCTCCGGATCGTTTCTACTGGGTACTCCCTAAACTGCTGCAGAATAATATTCCCGTGCACCACTAAAAACCGCTCCATCTCAGCGAAACTCTTAGCTAAGTCCCCACGCGCCGGCGCCTTTCCGCTCTTCTGCTGCTTCTCCGCCACCCGCTCCTGCGCCAGCTTCGTCACAACGTCCAGAAAAGACAAACGTGCCGCCCGGGACTCGCCACTCAGCATCTCGATGACTTGGATTGCCAGCCGGGCCGTGCGCAGAACTGGGCGGTACCAGGGGACATAGGCGGCACAGGGGCGGCCAAGCCTGTACCATGCCCCATCCGTTCGAATGGTCACGAAAAGCATCCCAGCCCCAAATTCGATCATCCACTCCTTAATCGCGCTCAGGTACACCCGGATACCACCACCACCACCATCTGCTGCTGCAGGATCAGACCCCGACCCGGATCCACTCCCTGAAGCACCTGAACCACTCCCTGAAGCACCAGCACCACCTGAAGAACCACCAGCACCACCGCCGTCACCGCGAGTAGTACCAGCGGATTCGACAGTAGGATCGTCCAGGCTAAACCCGCTGCCATCGTCCTCCATCATAACGCCAGAGCCGAACACGAGGGAGTCGGCGGCCACTCCCGGCAGCATGGGCAGCAACTCGAGAGGCACGAAGCGCAGCTGATCGTCGTAGAGAGCCCAGTCGTCCAGGCGGCGCCGAGGGAGGTCGTCGGGGTGCAACGGAGCGGCAGCGTCGTCAAATAAGAGGAACTCGTCTGTTTCCTCGTCCACGCTCTGAGGTGGGTGGTATGAGGGCGGCAGAGAGGAGGAAAGGAGGGGAGGGTTCGGGGGAATGGGGGATGGGTTGTGACAAGAGGAGGGCACAGCGGTGAGGAGGGGGCAGAGCGATCATGGGAGGGCCAGCATGGGCAGCAGCTCGAGTGGCACGAAGCGCAGCTGATCGTCGTAGAGAGCCCAGTCGTCCAGGCGGCGGCGAGGGAGGTCCTCGGTGTAAAGTGGAGCCGTGGCATCGTTGAACAGAAGGAACTCGTCCACGCTCTGAGGTGGGTGGCGTGAGGGCAGCGCATTGGGGGAACGGGGGGTGGAAGTGGGAGAGAAGAGGAGGGCACAGCGGTGAGGAGGGCACAGCGGTAAGGAGGGCACAGCGGTAAGGAGGGCACAGCGGTGAGGAGGGCACAGCGGTGAGGAGGGCACAGCGGTGAGGAGGGCACAGCGGTGAGGAGGGTGGCGACAGAGCAGGGGGCAACATGGGCAGCATGGGCAGCAGCTGGAGCGGCACGAAGAGCAGCTGGTACTCGTAGAGAGCCTAGTCGTCCAGACAGCGGCGTGGCAGGTCGCCGGGTGCAATAGCGGCAGACGGAGTAAACAGGAGAAAAAGGTGAAAGAGGCAGGCAGGGGTCAGCAGAGACCAATAAAGGGGGCAGCATGGGCAGCATGAGCAACAGCTGGAGCGGCATGAAGCGCAGCTGGTCCTCGTCCAGCACCCAGTTGCTGCTCGCGGCTGTTCCCTTCCCCACGCATCATCCAGCATACCTTGTAGTATCTGGGGGGCGGGTAGTCATCTGCCAGCTCCTTCTCATTGATCTTCAAATACCTCTCCTGCCCACCTCCGCCTCTAGCCCCCTTCCTCCGCCCGCCTCCCCTCTTCGCCTCTGCTTCCTTCTCCTCCTCTTCCGCCACCAGCCTAGCCAACTCCTCATCGTCTATACCCACACCTGTTCCCCCGCCGGCCCTGCTGCTGCTGCCACTGCCGCCAGCAGTGTCTCTTATAACGAGGGCTCCGTTTGTAGCAGCTGGTTTCTTGCCCGTGTGTTCCTTGGCGCTGGCTTGCCTGGCCTCCACGATGCTCCGGACGGCTGCGTGCTTCGCTCCCTCCTCTTTCAACGACCTTTGGGGGCGGGGGTGATGGAAGGGAAGAAACGATTCGGATATTAGGGGAGAGAGGTGTGCTACCTGGCTTCCACGATGCTCCGGACGGCTGCGTGCTTCGCTCCCTCCTCTTTCAACGACCTATCCGGGTGAAGCGAAAAGTGGGAAAAGAATAGTATGGGAAAGAGGGGAGTAGGTGAGTTGCGTGAGTATCCGCGTCCTCGTCCAGCCCGCACAGCTGCTGTGCCACAAACGCGTGCGCGCCCACCAGCTGCTACCCACTAAGTTAACCCAGCAAACCAACATCCCCACAGCAAACGTGGCACAGGCATGCAGACACACAAACTCACTCAAGTGCAGGCAGTCCCGAGAAGAGCTGGTCGTCTTCATCCGCGTCCTTGTCCAGCCCGCACAGCTGCTGCAACACAAACGCGTGCGCCGCCACCAGCTCGTCCCTGCACGGCCGCCCCAGCGCCCTGGACACGCGCGCCACCACCTCTGGCAAGGAAATGGTAGGGTCGCCCCCGTCCGGCTTGGAAAGGGCTCGATAAACCTCCACGCACAAATTGGCCTTGTCCTGTTTGGAGCGGGGGGAGGTGGGGGGTGGAGGGAACGTGAGAAGCTATTGAGGCACGGACCACCAGGTCGTCCCTGCACGGCCGCCCCAGCGCCCTTGACACGCGCGCCACCACTTCTGGCAGGGAAATGGTAGGGTCCCCCCCGTCTGGCTTGGACAGCGCCCTGTAGACCTCCACGCACAGATTGGCCTTGTCCTGTTAGGAGCGGGTGGGAAGTGGGGAGGAACGCGTGAAGCTATCGAAACATGGCCCGCCAGCTCGTCCCTGCAGGGCCGCTCCAGCGCGCTCGATATGCGTGCCACCATCTCTGCGAGGGAGAGGATGGGCTCGCCCCCGTCTGTCTTGGACAGCGTCCTGAAGACTTCCACGCACACAGATTGGCCTTGTCCTGATTGGATGGGCGGAAATGGGGAGGAGCGTCTGAAGTAGATGAGGAACGTGGGAAGGAAAGTGTGAAAGTCTCCTGGAGCGTGGTGAAGATAACATTTTCGAGAATAACATGTTTTGATAAGAACGTTTTTTTTGGCGTCTCTGAACTGCCCCCCACACCACACTCACGTTCCCCATCCACCCACAGTACCTGCAGCTCAGTGAATCGTTTACCTGCAGCGCTGTGAAGTCTTTCTTCTGCTTGGCGGCGGGGCGGCAGCAGACGTACGTGGCAGCGTCCGTGGTGATCATGATGCGCGCCGCTGTGTTCGCCTTCTCGTAGCCGTCGATGTACCACCCGTCGATGGGCCCGAACGCCTCGCACCTGTAACCCTGGTTACCGAGTTACGGAGCAAGAGGTATGAAAACAGCTGCGTCAGGTCAATATATGTCCCATTTACATATCGGTACAGCATCAGTGGAAAGGGCAAGCTACACAGATTGTTCGGGCACTGCTTATACAGTTCTGAGCACACCATCTCGGAACAATTCAAAGCTACAGAGATTCATCGCACTTGTATATGGTCCGGGGCAGCAGTCTGGCAACGATCAATATTCTTAGGCGCCTCACGTGTAGCAAAATCGGTATCGTACAGCTCGCTGGACACTCATCTTACCGCCATATGGCGCAGCGCGGCGGTCTCGGGAAGAATGACGCCCGTCGCGAAGAGCCCCTCCCCGCGCGCCGCCAGCGCGTCGAAGCTGTCGAGCGGCACGAGCGCGCCCTCCGAGTCGTGAAACACGAAGTCCAGCAGCTGCCGCACTGGCCCCTTCTCCGCCGCCGCTGCCGCAGCAGCGGCTGCTGGATCCGACGGGTGCGTGAGCACGATCGCGACTTCCTCTGCACAGATCGGACGGAGGACAGAGGCAGTTTGCGCAAGTGAGGATAGAGTGGCGATACAGTGATGACTTGGTAAGCTACCATGAGAGGAAATGCGGGTGCTTACTGGATACAAACGGTTAGCTAGACGTAAAGTCAGTAATGGGTACGTCTGCCTGTCAGCGAAGTCTATGTCAAACTTGAATCCACGAGCAGAGCTTGCATCGCACCTGAGTCAGCGAGCGGAGCCTGCTTCACTTGAATCATGTCGTCGTCGATCGCTGGCGCCTTGCCTCGCTTCCTCGCCTTCCCAGGCGCCTTCTTCGCCTCTTTTTCCGTTCCCTTGAGCTGGCCTGAAGGCTTCCCACTCGCCTCTTTCTCTTCCTTGGGATGAAGTGGAGGCTTCTTCTTTCCCCCTTTCTCTGCCTTGGGCTGACGTGGAGCCTCCACGCGGCTGACGCTGCGGCCGTTGTTCACCTTGGCGCGCTTCGTGCGTGACTTCTCTTCAGTTGCGCCGGCCTCCTTTGATCGTTTGCCCGAGCCCTTTTCTCCCACCTCGCCGTTTTCTGTTACGCATTTCACGACGCCGTTTTCTTCGACCGCGGTGCTCTCCTTTAAACGTTTGCCGCCGCCCTTTCCATTTACAACGCCGTTTTCCTTCTCGCGTTTCACGTCGCTCTTCTCTTCGACGGCATCATCCTCAGCCTTGGCGCGCCTGCTGCCGCGACCCTGGGCCTTCGGTTCAGTCACATTCTCTTCCTTCACACTCTTGCTTCCTCCCTTCGACTTAGTCACACTGCATCGATTCATCGCCTTCGCCTGTCGCGTTCGATTTCCGTTCGTTCCAGCTACTTGGCGGCCATTCGTCGCCTTCGACTGCTTGCCCGTCGATATAGTCACAACTTCCTCGACTTCTATCACTTCGTCCACGTCCATTGCTCCGCTTCTCCTTCCACCGCCAAACAATCGGACTTGGCCCCGCGAAATCACGCAGCAATGGGACCGGCAATGATAGATCAGTAAGCTAAGTTGAAAAGGAGTGACATGAGAATGCACGAGTAAGGTATGGCTCAGTCAGATGTTGCGAATGCTCGCTAAGGCTCTACAAGCAGAGTTGGGAGGGAAGCTTGGGGATGGCGGGAGAACGAGAAATTAGGAAAAAATCGAGAGCAAGTCTTGGTTTGGTGTGTGGTGATTCATTAGCTCCGTCCGTTGGATCACTGACCCTTGTATGTCCGCCGTCAGATTAGCTAGCCCTGAAAACTTGGAGCCTGGGGATGATGGAGCCTTGGGGTGGTCGTCGCGCTGACGCTTCCGTGCCACCAATCAAAACCAAACCTCGGAATCGTGGAATGACTGGATCGTGCCCGTGTTCAAAATTCAAATTTATGAACAACCGACTAGAGCCTTTTTAGTGAACTGTAACACACTCCAACAATTTGTTATATATAATTCTTTTAGCATAACATGATGATGTGAGATTTGAGCAATGAAAGATACAGCAAGTTGACCAATAGTCACAAGAATTTGGCAGGCCAATGTTTATGCATGCAAATCAGCAGGCTTAAATAGCTTCGTAACCACAGTTAGCAGTTGAGCCTCGTCAATGGGGTTTGAGAGCATCCCATCCATACCTGCCTCTTTCCACCTGCAAGCACATGAAGGTTCACATGGATATAATATACGGTATGAAGAATAAAAAACAACTTGAATAATGCCGCTCCATGTCCCACAAAATATTTCCTTGCCCCAGCTCAACCCTTTTATAATCTCTGGCTCCCCCTCAGTCACACTCCCTGTCTCGCCCTTACCCCACCTCCCCGCTTTTCCCACTCACTTGGCCACGAGTTCAGGCAGGGCATCGTTGACCAGTCCCGCGATGGGGATGTGCGAGTGCTGAACCGCACTGATTGGCTAGTCCACTCAAAAGCAGCACTGATCATTGAGTCGACTGAAAGATCCCCTCCTCTCTACTTTTCCCACTCACTTGGCCACCAGTTCAGGCAGGGCGTCATTGACCAGTCCCACGATGGGGATGTGCGAGTGCTGAGCCGCACTCCCCATGCGCACCACATCCTCGTTATAGCGCTGCTCCTCAATGCGCCTTACAGCCTGTGTGAATGCAAAGCTGCAGATGGTCGGGTATGCCAGAGGGACAGAGAAGGGTGGGATGGGGGTGTGGAATTGCTGACAGGGCGACTGAAGGAAGTGGAGGTTAGGTTAGATTTGTTGCAAACGGGCAGCTGGAAAAGAAGGCAAGGCATGAGATTGCAGACAGGGTGCCGGGGTGGAACAGTAAGTATATCGTACCCTGACACATGAACACGCAGACTGACATCTCAGCAAGTCAATCGAGCCCTGACACGCCAGCAAGCCAATCGTACCCGGACATGTCAGCAAGGCGCAGGTTGACAAGCACCAGGTGAAACTCCGAGCCACGGATCTGCCCCAGCGCCTGCGCCTGCCCCTGCCCTTCCCCCTGCCCCTCCCCCTGCCCTTGCCCCTGAGAGAGTGCGAGGGAGGGGGCAGCATGCAGGCGCGCGAGGGCTTCGCTAGCAGAGCCGAGAGCGAGGGCCACATCGGCGAAGCGGGAGAGCATGACTGCCACGGCCTTGCGACTGATGAAGTTGTGATCCACTATCTGGGAGGGAGACGGGGAAGGGAGGGAGGAGGAGAAGCATGAGGCGCAGGCGCAGGAATCTTATACACTAACTCACGCACAACATCACACCATCATGTTGCACAAATCACCACCAACCCACTCGTGCTTGCTCTTGAGGCACAGGCGCAGCAGGATCTGGCGCCGTCTTGCTGCCGTGGCGCTGGTGTCGCGCGGTACACATGCATACATCACACACCACCATCACATCACATCACATCACATCGCATCGCATCGCATCGCATCGCATCGCATCGCATCACATCACATCGCATCGCATCGCATCGCATCACACCACATCACACCACATCAAATCACATCACACCACACCACACCACACCACACCACATCACACCACACCACACCACACCACATCACATCACATCACATCACATCACATCACATCACACACCCACCATCACGTGTTTGCCCTAAAGGCAGAGGTGCAGCAGAATCTGATACACAAGCATCAGCAGCACTCATTCTCACACATCACATCACAGCCCACCCACCATCACGTGCACCATCACCCACCATCACCCACCATCACCCACCATCACCCACCATCACGTGTTTGCCCTTGAGGCATAAGCGCAGCAGAATCTGACGCCGCCTGGCTGCCGTGGCGCTGGTGTCGCGCGGGTTGAAGGAGAGCGCCTGGCAGGAAGGATGGGGGGAAGAGGACGGGCAGTGCTTGTTGACTGATGGTGGTAAGTGGAAGGTGGGAAAGCATGGGTACCGTGGCGCTGGTGTCGAGGGGGTTGGGGGAGAGTGCCTGGGGGAACGTTTGGGAGGGGGGGGGGGGGGGGGGGGAGGAGGCGTTTCTAATTGATGGTGTTGAGAGGAAGGTGCGAAAGCATGAGTACCGTGGCGCTGGTGTCGCGCGGGTTAAAGCCAAGGGAGAGGGCATGGAGAGCGCAAAAGGAGACACCATGCAGGACGGGAAGGAACTGGAGGAAAGTGATAACGAGGCCAACATTGCGCCCTGATGTGGCAGCAGTATGTGAAAGATTACAAAGGAAGGGCAGGGCTTACTTCAAGCAGTGTGGTGGCCATGTCTTTTGAGGCGCCTTTTGAGGCAACTTTTGAGGCGCCTAATTAGCAGTATGTGAAAGATTACAAAGGAAGGGCTTACTTCAAGCAGTGTGGTGGCCATGTCTTTTGAGGCGCCTTTTGAGGCAACTTTTGAGGCGCCTAATTAGCAGTATGTGAAAGATTACAAAGGAAGGGCTTACTTCAAGCAGTGTGGTGGCCATGTCTTTTGAGGCGCCTTTTGAGGCAACTTTTGAGGCGCCTAATTAGCAGTATGTGAAAGATTACAAAGGAAGGGCTTACTTCAAGCAGTGTGGTGTTTCATGTCTTTTGAGGCGCCTTTTGAGGCAACTTTTGAGGCGCCTAATTAGCAGTATGTGAAAGATTACAAAGGAAGGGCTTACTTCAAGCAGAGTGGTGGTGGTCATGTCGGCAGCCCTGAGTGGTTTCACGATGATGCCTGCAAGCAACGAGGTTCCTTGGGATGCCATGGTCCTCCTTCCTTGTCATTTGGGCACCAAAGAAGATTACAAGCGAGTGAAGGACCTTACCTTACCTCAAGAAGCGTGGTGGCCATGTCAGCAGCCCTGAGTGGTTTCACGATGATGCCTGCAAAGAAACGAGGTGGCTAGTATACCATGGTCCTCCTTCCTTCTCAACCGGGCACCGAAGGAGATTATGAGCGAGCGAGGGACCTTACTTCAAGCAGTGTGGTGGCCATGTCGGCAGCCCTGAGTGGTTTCACGATGATGCCTGCGAATCCCAGCTTCTGCGCCTCCTCCCTCAGCGCCTCATTGGAGTCCTGTGAGTGAAAGGGAGAGGGGAAGAGGTAGGGTGTTGTGTTGTTCTGGTCTGGTTTATAGCTTCAAGCACGCTATGGGGAGAGCACCCAGCTTCTGCGCTTCCTCCCTCAGCGCCTCATTGGAGTCCTGTGAGTGAAAGGGAGAGGGGAAGAGGTAGGGTGTTGTGTTGTTCTGGTCTGGTTTATAGCTTCAAGCACGCTATGGGGAGAGCACCCAGCTTCTGCGCCTCCTCCCTCAGCGCCTCATTGGAGTCCTGCGAGTGAGAAAAGGCCGGGGGGGAAGGTAAGGGGTTGTTCTGGTGAGCAAGGAAGAGAGGAAGGAAGCAGCGGTTGGGAGTGTTCGCAGCAACCAGCCCTCAGTGGTTTCACCATGATGCTATATTTGAATCACTTTTGAGAATTTTCAAAAGCAAAGCCCAGCTTCTGTGCTTCCTCCCTCAGCGCCTCGTTAGAGTCCCTTAGATGACAGAAGGCAGGGGAAGAAGGTAAGGGGTTGACTTTGAGGCACCTCAAACGAGCCTCGTTACAGTCTGTGAGTGAAGGGGTGAAAGAGGCGGCCATCGGGGAGAAACGGGAGAAGGGGGAACGTTGCAATTACCAGTCGGTTTAACATTCTCACGAGCAAGCGCTGTGTCTCACCATGGCGACACTGTTCTTTGAGAGTTGATAAAATAACAGATTCACCTTGGCCACGGGCACGAGCAGGGGCAGGTTGGAGTGCTGCTCCCAGCCCAGTGATGCAAGGGACTGGGTGAGTGGGGGGGTGATGTGGTCGCTAAACTGGACCGCTGTTCCACGAGCTGATGTGTCTCACCTTGGCCACGAGCACGAGCAGGGGCAGGTTGGAGTGCTGCTCCCAACCAAGGGAGGCGAGCAAGCGACTGGGTCGGTGGCGCGATGTTGTGAGGTGATTAAGGACTGATACCACAGCAAGCGCTCTCTCTCTCGCACCTTTGCAACGAGCACGAGAAGAGGAAGGTTGGAGTGCTGCTCCCAGCCAAGGGAGGCGAGTGATTGGGTGATGGCAACGGGGTCCGTGGCACGATGCTGTGCCTCCAGGTCTCTCAGCTGCAGCACCATGCAGCCCAACGCCTTGTGGGCACTGCCAAGCCTGTTGGACCTACAAGGAGCTTTACGCGCCCAGCCCTGCAAGCACTGGTTCTTTCTTACCTTGGCCACGAGCACGAGCAGGGGGGGGTTGGAGTGCTGCTCCCAGCCAAGGGAGGCGAGTGACTGCGTGATGGCAACAGGGTCGGTGGCACGATGCTGTGCCTCCAGGTCCCTCAGCTGCAGCACCATGCGACCCAACGCCTTGTGAGCACTGCCCCGCCTGTTGACCTACAAGGTGTTTCAGGTGCCCAGCCCAGCAAGCTATGTTGGAAAAGTCGCGCCCAGCGTATTATACGCAAGCGTATATACGCTTACGTATAATGCGGGATGCGCTGAATGGGTGACTCAAGAATACGTGAAAAATACGCTGCCCGGGCAGGTAAAACTTTTTTCCGGTCAGGCGGGACTAGGAACCTCATTAGTTGCACTCGCGGGAGTGCCAGTGCTAGTAGGGGGCGTCATCGTAGAGCTGCGAGGCGATCGAGAGAACTAGAGAAAGAGAATTACGACGTGGCTGATGAGATGTTTTAGGGTTGGGAGGGATTACCTTTTTGTCCTCGATGAGAGTTGAGGTAGGCTGGTTGGAAACATTTGTGTAGCTGAGTTGGAGTTGCGGGGTAACGGACGGTGCAATGCGGTTGATTTGAATTCCCCCTTGCCAAATTTGTGTGTTGGTGGGGTCGACGAATTTTGATGTTGCGAACAATTTGACGTCGCATTTGCAAAATTCGTGCGCACAATGTGTGTCGCGACGCATTTTCCAATTTCGTGCGTGAACTTTTTCTTTTTCATTTTTGGCCGGGCAGCCCAGATTTTTCCGAACGAATGTACGTGCGTATTGCGTACAGCGTATATTCGTCTACGTATATACGCTGTACGCATGCCCAGTCTGGCGACTTTTCCAACATAGCCAGCAAGCACTGCTTCTTTCTTACCTTGGCGACAAGAACCAGAAGGGGAAGATTGGAGTGCTGCTCCCAGCCCAGCGAGGCCAGCGATTGCGTGATGGCTACAGGGTCCGTGGCGCGATGCTGTGCCTCCAGGTCCCTCAGCTGCAGCACCATGCGGCCTAATGCAAGGCCTGTGGAAGGGCCGTCACTGTCCAAATCGACCACCACCACATCCCACCGGCTCTTGCGTTGAGAGGCTGCTGCGATGCCTGGGGGAGGGGAGGGGAGCAGAGAGATGCAGTTAGGAACAGACGCGCAGCACCGTGCGCCCCAATGCCAGCCCTGTGGAGGGGCCATCGCTGTCCAAATCGACCACCATCCTTCCCACCAGCTCTTGGGAGGAGAGGCTATAGCCATGTTTTTTTAGAATTCTCAAAAAACAATCGCTGTCCAGATCAACCACCATCCCATTCCACCAGCTCTTGGGAGGAGAGGCTATAGCCATGCCTGTGGTAACCGGATGAAAGTGGAGGAGGGGGGAGAACGAGAAGAGATTATTGAGGGGTGACGGACAGCAGCAGAGGCACTTCCATTCAAACAAACTACTTACCACAGCGCACCGCATAGCACCGCACCACACTCACCAGTACCAGCAGCAGGGGCAGCCGCAGAGGTGACATCGTGCCTGAGCGCCAAGGCAGCAGCAGAGAAGCTTTCAATCATAGAACATTTCACATTGCACCGCACTGCACCGCACCACACTCACCAGCACCAGCAGCAGGAGCAGCAGCCGAGGTGACATCGTGCCTGAGTGCCAAGGCAGCAGCAGAGACCCTTCCAATCATAGAACAAGCATACCACAATCCACCACACTGCACCGCACCACACTCACCAGCACCAGCAGCAGGAGCAGCAGGAGAGGTGACATCGTGCCTGAGCGCCAGCGCAGCAGCAGAGACGCTGTCTGAGAGATCGACCTTTAGGCCCAGGCGAGCCATGCATGTTGCCAAGACCTGGCGTGGGGAAGGTTAAAGGGGAGGGAGAAGAGTGGAAGTGGGGGTGAGAAGGGAAGAGCTCTGAACAGCAGGGCAGCAGCAGAGACGCTGTCTGAAAGATCGACCTCTAGACCCAGGCGAGCCATGCATGTGGCGAGCACCTGGTGGTGGTGTTGCGATCGTGGCGACAAGGAGGGCGGGGGAAGGGTTAAAGCAGGGTAGGGATGTATTAGTGTTGATTGACTGCCAGTGCGGCAGCAGAGACGCTGTCTGATAGATCCACTTTTAGCCCCAGGCGGGCCATGCATGTGGTGAGCACCTGGTTTTAGGGGGGAGAGGAATGGATAGAGGGGGAGTAGGAAAGCGGTGGTGTGAGGGACGAGTGCTGGGCGCCAAAGCAACAGCAGAGACGCTGTCTGAGAGATCCACCTTCAGGCCCGGACGAGCCATGCACGTTGCAGGTGAGGGGAAGGGAGAAGTAGGAGGGTTGGGGGAATGCGGGGAAGAACATAGGAGAGGGGATGGGAGAATGAAGGACAGCGGCACAGAGATACTTCTTGAAACGCTGACCTTGAATGAATCGAAGCCCAAGCGAGCTGCGCATGTGGGTTGATTGAGCCTGGCCTCAAAAGAGCCACACTCTATCTCCTGCGCGTCTTTTGAGCAAGCGAGTTTGTCTGAGCTCATTCCTCCTACCCGCGGCCTCAGACAAACTCACAACCCACCTGCTGCCTCATTAGCCATTCGTCCTCACCTCAACAGCCAAGCATCGCAGCCCCTCTGGGTTTGCTCCTCAGCTCCCTGCCCCACTGGCCTCCCGTTCCACTCCCTCCCGTCCCACCCACGATAACTAGAGTGAAGGGAGAAACGAAAACCCACCTGTTGCCTCACGGGTCTCCCATCCACAGCCAGGCATCTCAGCCCCCTCAGCTTGCCCCGCAGCTCCAGGCTCTCCGCCTGCTGCTATTCATCCATTCCATTACCTTCCCTTCACTCTCCACCACACTAACACACTTTGAACACACCTGCTGCCTCACGGGCCTCCCATCCACAGCCAGGCATCGCAGCCCCCGCAGCTTGCCCCGCAGTGCCAGGCTCTCCGCCTGCTGCTCGTCCATTCCCTCTCTACCCTCCACTCCCCACTACACAATTACACGCACAACCCACCTGTTGCCTCACGGGTCTACCGTCAACTGCTAGGCATCGCAGCCCCCGCAGCTTTCCTCGCAGCGCAAGGCTCTCCGCCTGCTGCTATTTATTCTCTCCATTCAGATCTCTATTCACTCCCACCACAATAATAGAGCCAACTAGAACCCACCTGTTGTCTCACGGGTCTCCCGTCAACAGCCAGGCATCTCAGCCCTCTCAGCTTGCCCCGCAGCGCCAGGCTCTCCGCCTGCTGCTCGTCCGGGATTGGCCCGAATCCCGCGTGGAAGACACGTGGCAGCAGGCTAGAGGCCGGCCCCGTGGGCGGCTGTGCAAGCGAGAGATCAAAGGTGAATGTGGTGCCGATGCCGGGACGGCTGTAGACGAGCAGTTGACCGTGCATGGCTTGGACTAGGCTGGATCACGGGAAAAGGGAATGGACGAGGGGAGACAGTAGGCATGGGAGAGAAGGTTGGGCGGCTGTGCGAGCGATTGATCAAAGGTGAATGTGGTGTCGATTCCAGGCCGGCTGTAGACTAGCAGCTGACCGTACATGGCTTGTACCAGACTGGTGGGGAGGGGAGTGAGGGGGGGGAGAGGATGAGAGAGATGGGAGGGCGGCTGTGCGAGCGAGAGATCAAAGGTGAATTGGTGCGGATTCCTGGACGGCTGTAGACGAGCAGCTGACCGTGCATGGCTTGCACCACCAGACTGGAATAGGAGGGGGGGAATGGGAGAAGGGATTGGCGAAGGGGGCAAATGGCAAAGGGTTTGAGAACTATCGAAATCGACCTGGGCGACGTTCAGCAGCAGAGGGACAGCGGCGAAGCGCTGTTGCAGAGGCAGGGAGAGAGGCTGAAAGGGTTTCTCGAGAGCATCAAAGACAGCATCAGGCAGTCCCACCCCCGTGTCCTCCAACGTGCACATCAGCCTCACTCCCCCTCATTCACCCTCTCGTGCACCCCTCCCCACCATTCCCTACCCCTCATTTGAGGTGCCGTGGACAAGGCAAGCACACACAATACAAGACAGAAGAGGGGAGGGGCTTACTTCTGAGCGACGTTCAGCAGCAGGGGGACGGCGGCGAAGCGCTGCTGCAGCGGCAGGGAGAGCGGCTGGAAGGGTTTCTCCAGAGCGTCAAAGACGGCATCAGGCAGTCCCACCCCCGTGTCCTCCAACGTGCACATCAGCCTCACTCCCCCTCGCCCACCACCACCACTCCCAACCGCTCCCGACCCCCCTCCTGTCCCTCCCCTTCCTCCGCCTCCTCCGCCTCTCTCCCCTCCCCCACCAGCCCCCCCTCCGCCTGCCCTCCCCCCATCTCCCCCTCCCCCCCCCTGCTGCTGGGGCCCCATGAGGCGGCGGAACCGTGCCTCCTGCTCGCGGATCATGCGGCAGATGCTCTCCCAGCTGTTGCTGCCGTCCGCTGCTGCTCGCCCGCTCAAAGTCAGGCTCTCCCCTTTGGCCTGGCTTGCACGGCCTCGAGCTATGCGCTCTGCTTCCACTGCCTGGGCCTCACGGCTGGGGGCTGAGGGGGTGGGAACGGAGGGTGGGGAGGGGTGCGGAGGGGTTGGGTGGATGGAGGGTCATGTCTAGTGTTGTGATCTGGAGGTTTGGGTTTTGAGCGTCTGAATTTCGCCTCCTGCTCGCGTATCATGCGGCAGACGCTCATGCCCCTTCTTTTGTCGTCATCCAGCCAGCAGCAGGCGCACCACCAGGAAGACATAGGAATGGCATACGTGTAGAGGGGCACACACGTGTGCCTAAGCTCAGACTAGAGGAGATTAGAATGAGTTAGATCTGGGTCGAAACTACTATTCTAAACGCCAGGCGCACCACCAGGAAGACATAGGGATGGCATATTTGTAGAGAGGCACACACGTGTGACATAGGGATGGCACACGTGTGTGTATGTAGAGTGGCACACACACATGTATGGTGTGCATGCTCCATCATCAACGCACCTTCCATGTCGCCGGGCGAGTTAGGATCCGCCATGCACCTCATCTCATCATCATCCGGTGCCAGGCGCACCACCACCAGGAAGGAACAACATCAAGACCACGCTTCCATACCTGACCAACCACCTGGCAGGAACTTAACGCATCTCATCGTCATCCGGAGCCAGGCGCACCACCAGGAACACCAAGACACACGAGTGCAGTGCAGTGCATGCCTGCACACATCATATGCACCCTACGACATACCACTCAACCCACCCACCCACCTTCCACATCGCCGGGCGAGTTGGGGTCCGCCATGCGCCTCATCTCATCATCATCCGGTGCCAGGCGCACCACAGGGAACACAAGAGGAGCGGCACAGCGTAGTTGTGGGCGCCACTCCACGTACCTTCCATGTCGTCAGAGGAATTCGGGTCAGCCATGCGCCTCATCTCATCATCGTCTGGAGCCAGGCGCACCACCAGGAAGGAACAACAGCAAGACCACGCTTCCATGCCTGACCAACCACCTGGCAGGAACTAACGCACCTTCCATATCGTCAGAGGAATTTGGATCCGCCATGCGCCGCATCTCATCATCATCCGGTGCCAGGCGCACCACGGGGAACACAAGAGGAGCGGCACAGCATAGTTGTGGGCGCCAGTAAGCCTTACCCTCAGCCACTACACTACACTCACCTTCCGTATCGTCAGCGGAATTCGGATCCGCCATGCGCCTCATCTCATCATCATCCGGTGCCAGGCACACCACCAGAAACACGTGACCGCGGTCGGTGAGACGCACTGCCACTGCCATGAGATTCGCGAGGATCTGATGAAAGGGTGAGGAGGGAGTGCAGCGAGTAGAGAGGGGTAGAGAGAGATCGAGAGGGATGGAGAAGGCCTGCCATGATGCCATCTCATCACCAACCGGTGCCAGGCGCACCACCAGAAACACGTGACCGCGGTCGGTGAGACGCACTGCCACTGCCATGAGATTCGCGAGGATCTGATGAAAGGGTGAGGAGGGAGTGCAGCGAGTAGAGAGGGGTAGAGAGAGATCGAGAGGGATGGAGAAGGCCTGCCATGATGCCATCTCATCACCAACCGGTGCCAGGCGCACCACCAGAAACACGTGACCGCGGTCGGTGAGACGCACTGCCACTGCCATGAGATTCGCGAGGATCTGATGAAAGGGTGAGGAGGGAGTGCAGCGAGTAGAGAGGGGTAGAGAGAGATCGAGAGGGATGGCGAAGGCCTGCCATGATGCCATCTCATCACCAACCGGTGCCAGGCGCACCACCAGGAACACGTGGCCGCGGTCGGTGAGTCTCACTGCCACTGCCATGAGATTGGCGAGAATCTGATGGGAGGGATGTCATTGGGGGGGGGGGGGGGGGGGGGGGGGGGTTGGTTCACGGAAAGTTGGATGGGGAGAACGAGAGGGAGACGGAGAGGCCCAGGCGCACCACCAGAAACACGTGGCCGCGGTCGGTGAGACGCACTGCCACTGCCATGAGATTGGCGAGAATCTGAATGGGGGGGATAGGTGGGGGGTGTGTGGGTGTGTGGTGGGGGGTTTTAGGGCGATGGAGAGGGCCAGGCGCACCAACAGGAAGACATGGCCGCGGTCGGTGAGAGGTACCGCCACTGCCATGAGATTGGCGAGAATCTGATCAAGGGGACGGAGGAGAGGGATGGGTAAGGGTAGAAAGGGTAAGGAGGGAGTGGATTGTGGAGAGGGATGAAGAGGGGTGAAGAGGGATGAAGAGGGGTGAAGAGGGATGAAGAGGGCACCACCAGGAGCACGTGAGCGCGGTCGGTGAGCCGCACTGCCACTGCCATTAGAGGAAGGAGGGTTGGGCGCAATAGAGGAAGAATGGGAGGGTGAGGTGGAGAGCGCACCACCAGGAACAGAACACGTGAGCGCTCCACAATCCACTCCCTCCTTACCCTTTCCACGCCTTTCTCCCTCGCCTCGCCCGCCACCAGCAACACCACCTCATCCACCACACACCGAAGGTCAAACACCGCACTCTCTAGACCCAGTGCAGGCAGCACCACCTCTTCTCATCCACCACACACCCAAACGCACCTGTCGGAGTCGAAGCGGGTCTCCTACAACCACGGTAGGCACAGAGTCCATGACGAGCGCAGCCAGCTCCACGCCCTTCTCCCTCTCTATCCCCAGTGCAGCCAGCACCACCCTCAACCCACCTGGCGCAGCCTGAGGGGATCTCCCACAACCACGGTGGGCACAGAGTCCATGACCAGTGCTGCCAGCTCAACGCCTTTCTCCCGCGCCTCGCCCGCCACCAGCAGCACCACTTCATCCACCACACACCGCAGGTCAAACACTGCGCTCTCTAACCCCAACCGCACCACACTCCCCCTCTCCACCGCCCCTGCCCTGCCTCCTCCCGTGCTCCCCCCCGCGCCTCCCCCTCCCCCGCCTCCCCCTCCCCCTCGTTCCCCGCGGAAAATTGCGGCGGCGGCTGAAGAGGCGGCTGCTGACGAGGCGGCGGCGATCCGACGGTTCTCGATGCGCCAGCTGTCGACGACGTTGTTGGCGACGTGGATGACGTGGCGCGCCGTAGCCTGAATGGCTGCCAGCATGTCGCGCTGCGATTCGTCGAGGGAGGAGGAGAGGAGCAGCTGCAGCAGACCCAGCACGCCTGGAGAGAGGGGAGAGGAAGAAAGAGAGTGAGTGCGAAAGAGCAAGTTTGTGGGGGGGTGAGGGAAGAGGGGAGTGAAGTTGAGGGAGAGGACCAGACCCAGGACAACTGGATAGAGGGGGAGGGAGGGAGAGGGGGAAGGGGAGTGGGACGGAGAGGGAGAGCGAGTGTGTGAGTGAGTTAGAGGGGGAAAGGGAGGAGGAGAGGAGCAGCTGACGCAGACGTTTTAAACCGATCTGACATGATAGATACGATCTGATCTGATATGACATGGTACGATCTGATCTAATATGTGGCTAGTGTCTTGTCATACAAAGCCGCTTTTACTGCCTCTAAGTGCACCAGTTACCATTAAAAGCCGCTCTCAGTGAAATTCCTTCTTACCTCTGAGTGGAGCTCTTATCTCATCTCATGCACCATTATCCCCAAGATAACACATATTTTAGTCGACTCAACAATCATTGTTACTAACCTCTAAGTGGCGCTCTTACCTCTTGCACCAGAATCCCCAAAATAGAGAAATTTAAGTGGAATAGAAAATAGCACTTAACTCTAAGCGGCGCTCTAATCTCATGCACCAGAATTCCCAAGAGTGAGGATTTTAAGTGGAATAGAAATTAGAACTTACCTCTAAGCGGTGCTCTTATTTCGTGCACCAGAATCCCCAACAGAGAGCTTCGCCCCACCGATACCGCCAGCTTGCTGCCAGCTGTCACCACCGCCCTTCCGTCCGAACCTCCCTCCGAACCTCCATCCGAACCTGACACCCCTCCAATCCCCTCCGCACCCCTCCCCCGTCCGCTTCCGCCCTCTTCCCCCTCCGCTCCGCCTTTCCCCAGCCTTCCCCCGCGCCCGCCCCCTCCCCCTTCTAGTGCGCGGAGGCGCTCCTCCAGCGCGTTAAGTTCCGCCAATTCGCTCCCCAATGCGCGCAGCGCGCAGATCATGAACCCTAGCACGGCCGCCGCCGCCGCTAGCGGGGACCACCGCCACGTCAGCGCGTCCACGGCTGGGTGCCACGGGACAGGACACGTGGCATTAGTCCATCGCGTCGCGTTCGCCAGTTCGCTCCCGTCAGCAGCGGCGGAAATTGCGGAGGCGTTAGCGGAAGTCGTCTCAAAACTTTCCGCATTGGCGGAAGGCGGGATTTTGCACGGGGCGAGCGGGTCCTTATGCGCGGGGAGGGTTGCGCGGAGAACACTGAAGGCGAGAATTAGCGCCACGAGATACGAGCCAGTCAGAGCAAGCCACGTCAGCCAAGGCAGCCGCACCGCGCTGGGGCTGGAATTCTTGCCACGTGTCGCTGCATCACTGGCGTCTAACCCGCGCTTCCCATTGGACGGTTCCTCGTCCCGGGCCACTCTCGCGCGCTGTTTATTCCCCTTATCCCCGTCTACTATCTCGTTCCCGTTACTCCCGTCTTCACTTCCGCTGTCACTTCCGCTGTCGTCCGCGTCACTCTCCGCATCGCGACTCGCCTCCGTCTCGCCGTCGCTGCTTTCCGCCTCCTTCGCGCGCTTTTCCGCAGGCGCCTTCCGCCCCCGCCACATGTTGCCAATGCGCGCGGAAACGACGGTAATCTCGCGCGCCAAACACCGCGTCGGCTAAAAGATAATTAGGTTACTGCGGGAATACCTCCACTATCGCGTCGAACCAAAGGGCGCAGTTAGGCGGGCTCTCACCGACGGGATTGACGGCTAGCCGGCAGGAGTCAACAGAATGGAGTGGTTGGTGGTACATTTTGGCCTCGTGTCATCTTTCATACCCGTTTTCCTCCGCCTTCGAACTTCTTTTTAGGTTGGTTGAAACATCCTTTTCAAATCGCTCTGTAGAATCTTTCCTAGGCTCCTTTCATGACCCTGTTTCTATTTATAATTTATGCCCATTTTGTGACCAATCTCGTACAGATCTCCAAGAACCATAATGAAAAATATAATGATATTATAAATCCTTTTATTACACAAACCCCCCGCACCAAAGTACATTGCACTCCCCCAACCGCCAACCAAGTAGCTATGATCTTCTTCCTTCCCCCTCCTCCCTTCTAACTCCATCCATAGTTCCTCCTGCTCATCGTGGCACCATATTCCATTTCTCCACTCCAGCGCGCCACCAAATCCGGCACCCTAGAAGCAACCCTGGTCCTGGGGAGTCCCGGCGTTCATGCACACGCCATACCTCTTAGGGTTAATGGCAGCATCAATGAGACGCTGCCAGTACATCTGCCCGGGGATAGACCCATCAGTCTGGGGGTTGCGGTAGGTGGGCCAGTGGCGGTTGAAGAAGCACTGCTGCGCGCGGCAGTAGGGGCATCCGGGGCAGGTCGCATCCTCAGTGCAGTTAAAGCCATAGACAGGGTCGGGCTGGGTGAAACGGCAGGTCTCTGGTGGGGAGAGGAGGCAGAAACAGAAAAGAAGCAAAAAGTGAGGGAGAGGAGACAGGGGAAGAGGGTAAACGGTGCGGGGACAGAGCGGCAAGAACTAGTGCTGCAAAAGGGTCTGCGATGGTTTGCTGGGTGTGCAAAGGTGTGCGGAGGGATTGTGAACGTACTGAAGCCGGTGGCCCAGTCATCGACGCCCGGCCACTGCAGGTTGTTGTTGATGTAGGTGTACCACTTGCCGTTGGGCTTCTTCACCGCAAGCCCGTACACCGGGTGGTACCTGCACGCACCAGAAAGCACCGCACCACACCGCACAGCACAACACAGCTCAGCACAGTTTTGAGCCAACAGTGCTTGGAACCAGCTGCGCAATTTAGCGTCAATGCGAGGAGTAATCTGCAAGATGGAACGACTAATACAAGGACGAATACACACCGGGGCTTCTTGTAAGGGTATGAGGCGTATCCGGGATCAGTAGCGAGCGTGTTGGTCCAGTTCGCCACCTCAGCAGGCGCATCAGCCGGCAGGCTCGTATCCTCAAGCGTAGACGAGTACGCGACGGCGCGCGCGTCGATCTGATCCAACGCCGATCCGATATCCGCGGGATCCATGAACTGATTCAGCGCCACATACGGCGGGGGAGCCGGCTGCGTGATCGGATCGAGGACGGCAGGATACGTGTCGTTTACGTTCGGATCGATGGTCGCGGCGATCGCGGCGGCATCCATTGAAGCGTTGGTGGCGGGCCACGGGGACGGGATGGTCTCCACGGGAAGGACGCCGGACTCGTCTCCCGATGGCGCGGGCGCGGGCGCGGGGGTCTGGAGCATCCGCCCGCGGAAGGCGGAAGCGGGGGACGGGAGCGACGCGGCGGAGAGGAGCACCAGCGCGAGGAGCGCGCCGGGCAGCAGCGCGCAGAAGCGGGAGACAGCCAT